AGAGCCTTAGAAATGGCTTGCATATTCAAATCATGGTGGAAAAATAGGAGTCTTGGGCAGATGGAGGCTGAGGGTGGCCTGCACTCAGCTTCCCCACCTTCCTCAGCTGCGTTTTCTTCTTGGTCCCACTCTGGAGCAGGCTGGGGCTCCTGATGACTAAAGGCGACCTTGCCTTTTTCTGTGCCAGTGTGGATGGCGGTGATTTGTCCAAGACCCCCTTTTTGGGAATGGCCTCGTGGTGCTGCTTTTGGCCTACAGGCTTCATTGGGGAGCTGGGAGCTCCATTCACCTTGGACAGCTTCCGGTTTTTCTTATGCAGTTTTGTGGACTTGGCAGGGGTGTTGGGGCTCAGGGTGGGAGCGCCAGGGACTGGGCCCTTGGTGGTAGGCATCCCGTCCCGTTGGCCTGGTCTGGGACCTTGGCCTTTGTCCTCTTGCTGCATGTGCTGGCTGGCTCCCGCAGGTGGCTGCAAGTGTGCCATCCTCTGACCTGTTTCTTGCAATTCTTTGTCTCTGGCAAGAATCCCTTTTTCTTCTGCTTCCTGCTGATGGGGCTCTGGTGGCGCTGGGGATCTCCTTGGTATCTTTCTCCAACTTGGGGTGCCTGAAGGGGAATAAGCCGGTAAAAAGGTGCCCAGTGAGGGCAGCAGCCACCTCCACCCAGGTCCCGTGGGGTTCCAGAGGCCCAGGGATCCCACATCTGTGTGTGCGCAGCAGTGTGAGGGTGATCCTAGCCCCGCCCAAGTGTGCATCCCCTGCCCAGTACCTACTGAACTCCCAGGGTTTTCATGGCCTGCCAGTAGAGGTCAAGTAGGCGGCTGGAGCCGGTGGAGTGCACCCCCTACCTCAGGCCCTGCTGCTGCCCCTGCAGCATGCCCAAGAGCACTGTCAGGTCCAAGGTCAGCTTCTGCAGAGGATGGGAAGGCAGGGCGGTGGTGGCCACAGGGGCAGGCCTCTCTGGGGCTCCTGGTGGTCTTCCCACCTTGGCCCCGTTGCTCTCTCACCAGCAAACCCTGCAGTCTCCTGGGCCTCAGCCTCTCTGTTCTGCCTGTTAAGGCATCCGTGTCTGTCTCACCATTGGAGGAAACACATGCCCAGGTGTTGGTTCTCCTCCCCACAGCTGCAGGCCTGGTCTGAGTCTCCACCGTGGCACTGGTGCACCCACCTCCAAGAGGGCCATCCCCACCACTCCATCACCGTGGGGCTGCCAATGCCTTTCCTCCAGCCTCCCTGCACGTCCTGAATAGGTTACTGTTGGAATCTGCTGGTTTCCAGGAGCCCGATCTCCTGGCTTCGTCGCTATCACCCAGTTTTGCAAGGCCCCATCCCAGGCCCCACCTCTGCCTGCTGGTGTAGCCTTGGCAAGCTCTCCCTCCATAAAGGCTGACTGGCACTTATGCTGAGGCCTCCCAAACCTTACCCTCTAGGCCAGACTAGGGGACCGAGATGGCCACCTACAGCTGCCTCCCAACCCTGCCCTGTGGCTGCCCAACATGTCACATTCCACCCATCCACACCCTGCACGAGGCCTGAAAACATGGCCTCCCTAACGTATGTCCACCCTGAGTCTTCTCCCATCCTTCACCATCTCCAGCCCTGCCAACCCCTTCTCAGCTTTCTCACCGGACATGGCAGTGCCATACCCTTGCACCCTGCCCTGCAGGACAGGGTGGCGCAGTCCCTTCCCTAGTCACTTGCCCATCCACAGCTCTGTAACTGCCTAAATGACAGCCCAGAGCCCCAACCAAGGCACTGAGAACCTTCCCCACATGACCCCCACCCCCAAGGTCTGGCCTGGGTAATGGCACTGATGCCGGGAGGCCCTGAGGCCCCCAGTAGGAACCCGACACTGCCCTGGGCTGGGCCCCACCTCACCTCGTGTTTACACGTCCTGAAGACAGTACTGAGCAGCTCCAGGGGGAACAGCACCTGCTGGTGCTCTGCCTTGGTCTGCGCAGGTTCTGGGGAGGGGTGGCCAGGCTGAGGTACTCTGGAGGGCTGTCAAAGCCTTTGTTTCCAAGCAGGGACTAAAGCCCAGAGGCAGGGACCATCTCCTGGGACAATCCCAATTCCCTGTCTCCCCACCCCCCACACTCCGGGAGGCTCAGGCTCCAATCCTGGCTTGTCCTCTCTCAGAGAACCGATCCCGAGCAGGCCAGGAGGAAGGGTGCCCCCCGGCTATTACCTCCATGACCTTTGTCAGGACCTGGCTGATCAGCTGCTTCCACTCTGGGTCCTGGAAGCACGACCTCACCTTCCCACATGGACAGGGTCTTCTGGAGCAGCAGGCAAGCTTGTGCCTGTGGTTGGGTAAAGGTGGGTGCCTGGAGCCTTAGCATGTTGGGTATGAGAGGCTGAGGGGGGTGAGGGGGCCTGCCAGTCATGGATGTGGGCGGCGTGCAAGGCCACCTGCTGCTCCTGCTCTGGACTCTGTGACCACCTGCTCTCCGTGCCTTCATGTACAGGTGGGGGCATGGAGGCCTCCCAGCTGGATAGAGGTGGGACCTCAGGCAGGACAATTCCTACCCATTCCTGGCTAATGCCATCTTCATTCAGTCTGCCCCCAGCAGTCCTGCACCTGATCAGACACTACCACGGTGTCCTCTGTGTGGCCAGATGGGCAGTGGTGGCTGTGGGAGTGAAGCTGGCCCCGCCCCCTTAGTGCCTCCATGCTCGGTGTGGCAGGGACGGCTGCACCCGTGTTCACCAGGCCAGTACTCTGGGGCCTCAGAAGCAGGTTAAGCAGGTTAATTCACATGGGCCCTGGGCTGGGAGCCGGGAAGTCTCTTACCTGCTGGTGGGGCCGCCCTGGGCTTGTGACATGCTAGACCAGGACAGGGAGCAGGCTCTTACAGAGCACCTGGCGGGGAAGGGAGGGTTGTGAGGTGTGGGTGGGGCTGGGGCTGAGAGGGGACCCCAAGTGGGCAGGGTGGCCCTGACACTCACTGGGTGCCGGAAAAGAGGCTGAGGAACATGGGGACCATGAGGGGGCTGTGGCGCTTGGTCAGGAAGGAGCTCAGTACTGATGAGTAGACGCATATCGTGAAGTTCAAGTCCAGGCAGCCGGCAGCCTAGGCCAGGTTGAGAGAGCTGGCTGAGGCCAGGAGAGGGCCTCTGGGATGGGAGGAGACTGGGCTAGCTTCGGATGGTGGAGGGTGAGTTCTGGGGAAGTGTGAAGTGCATGGGCTCTGCCTGGGCCAGGCCCTGCTCACCTGTGAGCTCTCGGTCATGGGGCTGGGGTTGGTGCCAGCCTCCAGCTCCTCCTGCGTCTCATGCACGCACCCCTCGGCAGTGCCGCCCTTCAAGACTCAGAGCAGGTAGAGGGAGGCATTGAAGTGGTAGAGGGCGGTGGAGTCGGGCTGGCGGCCTCGATGCGGTCACCCAAGTCGTGGCAGTAATACGGCCACGGCACAGGTGGTAGCTGCAGGTGGTGGAGGACAAGAGCTGGTCAGAACAATCTCAATCCACCCCGCTCTGCCAAGCAGCACCAAGCAAGTCCCACTTTACAGGTGAGGAACAGATCTGGAAGACAGATGTGACTGAGGACACAGAGGAAGGCAGGGCTACTGGCAGCTTGCTTGGGAGCTATGTGAGCTCATCGTGCTTGGGCAAGGGGGCACCCCACAGGGGGAACAGAACAGTTCCCGAAGTGGGGGGCTGCACCAGGGCCAACCACCACCTGGCACACCTCTCCTGTCCATACTCATCCCTCGTGGGGAAGTGGCCTCCAGGCCTTTTGTAAAGCGAGGCAAGGGTTCTGCACTCAGAACCCTATGTGGCCCTGCAGGGCCAGGACAGAGTGGGGACAAGAGGCAGGATGCTCAATGAGTGACACTGTCCATGCACACTGGCAGAACTATCTGAGAAGGTGTGGCCTGGGGTGGAATGGAGGATGACCACCAGTCATGCCCCCCACCCTGCAGACCATCCATGCAGTGCCCAGGGGGCCCAGGCCTTCAACTACCCAGCACCTAAGCCCTGAAGGCAGGTCTGCACCTGACGCCTGCCTGGCTCTCCCCCGCCTGCCATCACCTCCCTGCTAGACCTGCCTCCAGCACAGCCCTGCCCAAAGCCTTCTCCACACCGCCAGCCATTTCCAAAAAGGGAAACCAGATCCAAAGCCTTCCCCACGCCAAATGTCCCTGCTGAAAATGCCTCTGCGGCCCCAGCCCCACTAGGGTCAGGCCTGCGAGGTTACAGGGGTCTGTGGCCTCACGCCTCACCTGACCTCCCAGCTGGATGTCTGACCGCCTCACATCAGGATGCTCTTTCCCCTTTCTGTACTCCCCAAGGCCTCCCAACCTGACAAACTCCCACATACACTGCACCTCCGAGGACTGGGTGTGTGTCCCCAGCCACAGGTGGTGCCACTGTCCCCACCCACCCCGACACAGCCCCACTGGAGACTGTCAGGGCTGGGATGGAACCCAGCTCCAGGGCACCACTCGCACTCGCACATGTCAGGAGAACACCGGGATGGACCAAGGACCATGTGAGTCACTGAGTGACACGTGACCTAGGGCTGAGTGGTGAGCCTGCAAGCTAGGGCCCAGGCTGGAAGCTTGGCTCTCTCTTTCCTGTACAACAAGCAAGCCAGGAGTTCTGCCTGGGGGCTAGGGGCTGGGGACTGCTGGCCAAACCCGCCAGCCTTGCCCCCGTGCTCACGTGAGGATGCACACAGTCTTGTGCAGCAGGTCCTGCTCCTGCTTAGTGCTGCTGCTGTGTAGGCTGCACCAAATGATGCCCAGCAGCGGCTCCAGCAGCTCCAGGATCAGGACGTTCTCAGGCTGCTTGGTCACCAGCACCTCCACCAGGTCCAGCACCTGCAGCTGGGAGAGCTTGTCAGCAAGGAGGGGGCAGGGCATGGGCGGGCGGGGGGCGGTGATGGAGGCGGTGGAGGCACCAGCCCCCAGGCTCACTCAAATCTGGAAGTCACTCTGCAGTACCTTCTCCTTCTGTTCTGTGTTTGCTCTTCTCGTCCTGCCGGGCCTGATCCACAGCCTCTGCTCAGCAAAGAGACTGGCGAGGTTCTGGTCCAGGACCATCATGGCCTCATCCCCCGCTCCTCCTCATCCTCACTTTCCACTCCACCCTGAGGGACAGAGGCCCAGCAGTCAGCCTGGCTTCGGGCAGGTGGACACACAACATAGGGACTCAAGAGCCGTCCCCGGCTCTGCTCACCAGCGCCTTCGCAGCCTGCAGCACACTCATCAGCTGTACCCAGAAGCCCTGGTCCACATCCTGTCACGCTCCTCCTCCTCCTCGCTCTCCCCAACATCGCTTTCATCTTCACTCTCTGAGCCTCTGCTCTCCTCACCATCCTCGTGCTTTTCCTGTGGGGTGGTGGCAGGCTCGTCACACACCTCTGCGATCTTCCCACTCCTGCCACCCCACCTGGCCCGCACTGGCAGCACCTCTGCAACCTTCAGCCGCTGCTCATCAGACTTGTCCATCACCACCACATGGTCATCCTCATCCTCACTGGTCTCCGAGTTCAGCACCTGGGGAGGAGACCCAGCCACTGACCCATCTGTGGCCCCGCCCTCCTGACCAGGCCCTGCCTGCCATTGGCCAAAAGTCCCATTTCAGGGAAGAAAACAGAGCCTAGGAGAGGTGGCCACACCCTGCAAGGACAGGACAGGGCCTCATTGAGACCCCTCCCACCAGGCACAGGCTGGCAGGAGGGAGGCTAGGAGGCTGAAGCGCTCTCCTCATCCTCACTGGTCTCCGAGTTCAGCACCTGGGGAGGAGACCCAGCCACTGACCCATCTGTGGCCCCGCCCTCCTGACCAGGCCCTGCCTGCCATTGGCCAAAAGTCCCCATTTCAGGGAAGAAAACAGAGCCTAGGAGAGGTGGCCACACCCTGCAAGGACAGGACAGGGCCTCATTGAGACCCCTCCCACCAGGCACAGGCTGGCAGGAGGGAGGCTAGGAGGCTGAAGCGCTCTCCTACCTGGTGCAGCTCCCTGCTCAGTGAGCCCCAGCACAAAGTGCATTTTCAAAGGTCCCAAACTCACATCCAGAATCAGCTGTAGGGCACGCGGGGGGGGTCAGGTGGGAGCAGACGTGGTCGAACATGCTCTGGGCCACTTGACACATGAGGTGGCTGGGCTGGGCCAGCAGGGCCAGCAGGATCTCCACCAGCACCTCTACCCATGGCAGCTCCTGGGGATCTGCAAGAGGGTGGATTGAGCCCAGGCAGGGGACCGTTGTCCTCACTGCACCACTTCAGTCCCTCTCGTACCCAAGGATACACCCTGTCCCAGAAGCAAGGACCCACCAATGGCCT